TAGTTTAGATGTTTTACTGAGTGGATTCTAGCAGTAAAGGATCTCTGCACGCTCTCCAGGTCAGCAATTTCTCCAGCTTGGAAAGGGGCTGTCATTGTGCAGCAGTACTCCACTCTAGAGAGCCCAAGCGTTTTGAAAAGTATCATCATCGGTATAGCATCTCTAGTGTGAAAAGTTCTTGTTATCCAACCTGTCATTTTTCTTGCAGTTGTGACGGCTACTTTATTGTGTTCTTTAAAGGTAAGGTCTTCCGACATGAGTACACCCAGATCCTTTACATTGCCTTTTCGTTCTGTTATAAATTGCCTGAGTTTTGTACGTGGTTTCCGTTTTTATATTTTCATTTTTTCCATAGCGCATGAGCTGGAACTTATCTCCGTTAAACACCATATTATTTTCTGTAGCCCATAGAAAGACCTGATCTACATCTGACTGGAGGTTTGCCGTGTCCTCTATGTTGCCTACTCTCATGAAGATCCTAGTGTCATCTGCAAAGGATGATACAGTGCTATAGGTTGTGTTCTTGTCTATGTCCGATATGAGGATGAGAAAAAGTACTGGAGCAAGCACAGTACCCTGGGGGACTGAGCTCTTCACGGTTGATGGGCTGGATTTTATTTTGTTGACTATTACACATTGGGTTCTGTTGGTCAGGAAATTGTAGATCCATCTGCCTATTTTTCCGGCAATTCCTTTTGAACGCATTTTGTGCAATAACACCATGGTCACATTTATCAAAAGCTTTTGCGAAATCTGTGTAAATTACATCAGCGTTTTGTTTGTCTTCCATAGCATCTAATGCCATATCATAGTGGTCCAGCAACTGCGACAGGCAAGAGCGCCCTGTTCTGAAACCATGTTGTCCGGGGTTATGGAGATGCTGTGATTCCATGTATTTTGTGATCTTACTTCTTAGCACTCTCAAAAATTTTTATGATGTGCGATGTTAATGCTATCGGTCTGTAATTTTTTGCCTCTGCCTTATTTCCTCCTTTATGAAGTGGTGCTATCTCTGCTGTTTTTAGTATATCAGGAATAACGCCAGTATCTAGGCTTTGTCTCCACAGAATGTGGAGGGCCTGCGATAGTGGTTTTTTACAGTTCTTGATGAATATGGAGTTCCAAGAATCCGGGCCTGGTGCAGAGTGCATAGGCATTCTGTTTATGGCTTCTTCAAAATCCAGTGGGGATAGGGCGACGTCTGATATATGATTTGATGTTGGTATCATATCCATAAAAAAATCACTTGGATTATCAATCTTTAGTGCGTTTAATGGCTCTTTGAAAACAGAGTCGTACTGCTTCCTCAGTAGCTCGCTCATTTCTTTGTTGTCATCGGTGAAAGTTCCATCTCCCTTTCGCAGGGGCCCTGATACTAGATGTGGTTTTTGATCTTGATTTTGCATAGGAGAAAAAATATTTCGGATTTCTCTCTGTTTCACTGATGGCCTTTTGCTCTCTTTGCCTCTCCTGGGTTTTGTATGATTCTTTTTGCTTGCGTTCAATTGTTTCTATTTCTCTACCTAACCTTCTTCGCCGTTCTTGAGATAGGGTGCGACTCTCAAGTTGTTCCGCGATTCGTTTTCTTCGCCTATATAGGGAACGACGTTCCCGTTCCAATCTGCATCTCTTCCTCTTTTTTCTTAGGGGTATGCGGTTTGAACATATTTCTAGTGCTACTAAGCTTATTTTTTCCAGGCACTGGTTCAGGTTTGCATTTTCTAGCTGTTCTTCCCAGTTTATTTCTGTGAAGTCCTGGTTTATTTGCTCCCAGTTTATATGTTTATTATTGAAGTTGAATTTGCTGAAATCTCCTCCACCGGTAATCTGGACAGGTTTTGAAGGTCTACTCCCCATGGTTGTCATAACTTCAATTAAGTTGTGATCTGAGTAACAGGTATTTGTAATCATTATGTTCCTGATCAATTCATCATTATTAGTGAAAATGAGGTCCAGGTCTTCTCCTTCCTAGTTGGTTCTACTATTTGCTGGTTTAAGGCAAACCTGTCGCACATCCGTAGCAGGTTATTTGCATGTGCCTGTTCATTTAGGCTACTTCCTGGTATTCTTTCTGATATTACTGTATTATGTATGCAAAGGGATCACAAGAGTTCCCACCGGATACTCAGGTAATGATGATATGCAATAAACACAATGGCACTGTCAATGGGACAGGCAATAACATGCACAATAATAATGTCACACAATAACTAAATGTGTGGTGTATGTGAAGCTCACAGTCACAGACGAGTGAAATGCAGTGATACCACACAGATAACACGCATTCACCGTCGATTCACCTATAACCTGTGACAGGTATGAGTAGGTGAGAACTGTGGTTGATCCCTCAGATCAACACAGACACAGTAAAACAATGACAAGATCTTGTACTTACAGATGGGGTATCTCTCTTATTCACTCATTCACTAAGGCACATTTATGTAAGAACTCGTAGGTGGCCTGACATGTTGTTGTTGTTAAAGATTCGCTACCTGGAACAAAAAGTCCCAAGTAACACGGGCTATGGTGAGCCCGTAGCAGTTCCCTGAGAGCTGGTTTCCTCGTTCTGAAGTGAGACCATTGACGACAGGTTTTCCCACAATCCGTACTTGACACGGGGCAGGAGGGCGTGCTGTATGCTTAACAGACAGACACACACACACACTTGGCACTGGCGGTGAGTAAGGTGGTGACGTCACGTGTTACAGTGAGGGTGGCGGCGGGTGACTCGAGGCTACACGAGGTACTGAGGTGCTAGCTACACGCTCTGGACCGAGTGGCGGCTGGCTACTGCAGGTTAAATGATACCAAGTGGTACACTGTGATAAAGTCACACACAGATTACTTAGGCGGCGGCACTGCCTTAGTTCACTCTAAGTCACTCACAACGATCTTTGTCACCAGGGGTTACCTGATACCAGTCTGTTTTGCTCTGGTGGTTTTGTCACTATAGGCTTCTGAACAATATATACACACTCGTGATTCTGGGCGAGTGTGGGTATATCAAAAAGACGCTGAGTTTAACTCGATGGTGAGGAATTGACAGTGTTCTTCTATCTATTGGCCGATAGACAGAACAGGACACGTCTTCTATGCAAGAGATCCCTCACGAGAATGCTCTGCAAGGGTTCCGGGCATCTCGTGGCACACAACACAAAAGAGTTACAATTTGACCAATAGCATTGCAGCACATGAGCGGGAACCAATCATAATGACCGTTCCATGATCACTAGGAGAGGTGACGTCATGAACACGTCACGACCACGTCACAGCTGTTATTCTCCATCGCGCAGGTTGAAGTTGACCTCAGGGTCGCACTGTCGCCTCACAGGCGTCCCCTCTACTCTTCTCACGCTGGCACCGGCCAATGTACTCACTGACCCTTTGTGGCAAATATGCTTAACTTCCCTGTATCTACTTCCTGCCTGGACATACAGCGGCCTTCGTATTATAACCGTGTTCCTGGTTAAGTGGGCATTCTGGAGATACCCAACATCCAAGGTTAAGAGAGATAGGGCCATGTGCACGAAGTTCGGTGCACTGTGCACTGCAATGAGCTTCAAGACAGCTGTGGGAGAATCTTGAGAGACCATTCTCTCACACACAGTAATACCAATGGTCTTTATGTTCTTGGGTAATTGTTTTCCTCACGGGAATGGTGTGATTTGCCGCTCTATGTATTACATTTACCAATTTTTTTCCACCTCTTCAGTGTTATCAGGAGGAGTGTAGTTTTAGTGCCAAATTTCAAGAGATTCCTGAAATTTCGTCCAATCTGCTTTGATAAAGTCCCATCCGGGCTCGGGAGCTGGAGGTCTGGGAGGTAGTGCTATATTATTAACTGTTCTTGTAGCAAAGTGGTCACTAGTCAGTACATGGTCAACTGACCAATGAGTTGGAGACAAACGTGAGGTCCAGCTTCCCCCCACCAATATGGGTTGGTTCCGTCGAGTTAAGCAGACTGACTTCAGGCACTTCATCCAAAAGGTGTTCAATATGTCTTCCGTTGGCGTCGGTTGTTGGTGAATCAAGTAGTAATTCACTATGAGCGTTGAAGTCACCCGAGATGATAGGTGTGGTGACTGCTATTTCAAAGATTGCAGAGAGATCCATGTCGTGTTCTCTATTGCTCCTGTATACACTGAAGATGGACAGCGTTGAGTTCCTCATAGTGAGATTAACTCCCATAATTTCGACGTCCTCACTACAGTCAGGCAGGTCTGTGATTGCCGTGGCATTGATATGAGTTCTTACTAGTACTGAAGTGCCTCTGGTGCCACCTTGTGCAATTGGGAAGTGGTAACCTTGATACCCTGGGATATTGATACTACTTTCAGTCCTGGTAAATGTTTCTTGATGTAAAACAATATCAATGTTGTCACTGAGAAACACTACCCTGAGTGTTTGCGCTTTGTTTTTGAATAATTGAATGTTCCATTGTATAATCTTGAGGTTGTCATTATTGTCCATTATTCTGTTAAAGTTGAGTCCATTGAGTCCATGATGGTTTCTTATGTGTTGATTTCCCCGACGGCTTGTGTCTTCTTGGCTGGCGTGGAGACTGCCATTGGGTGCTGAAACAATTCAGTTTCGTCCCCTCTTCGACTTCGTCGACATTTTCCGGAAGGGCTTGATGAAGTGTGGAAGAAATAAGTTCAGTAGATTTTTATTTACCTCTTAACATCTCCTTCCTTGACTGAGAGTTGCTCTGTTCCCGTTCCTTGTTAGTTGTCAATTTATGTACTGTTCAGCGCTCGCTTGCTTTTAATTGTTGCCGCATGTGTAAGACTAAATTCAGTTTCAGACAGAGGAGAGGTGTGGGATTGGTAAATGTAGTTAGTGGATAGGGACGCAACAAGGGATGGAGGCAAGAGATTGTGGGAACAGAAGAGGAGGGCAGAATGTGTGTTTGATTATTCTAGGTTTATTTTATAATATTAGAATTAATTGAGAAAACAAGACAAATAAAAATCTAAACAAGTGTGTCTCTTCACCTGCAGGGTTGTGATGACGAGGGAGGTGAGAATAGATGATGGGAGTGAGGGCAGTGAGAGAAGAGGAAGGCGAGGCTGGAGCCTTCGCCACACAGACGAGTCCCCGCCGCGACAGTACCCGGGACAGGCGAGGGATAGGAGGGGCTCTCCTTCTAGACCTCAGTCACCCAGGCGAGGCACTGAGGAGGGCTCTCCACTCAGTCAGTCCCCTCGCTCAAGCAGAAGAGTAAGGGCAAGGTCACCAAGACGGCATTCACCGGAGAGACAGTCACCAAGACGGCATTCACCGGAGAGACAGTCACCAAGACGGCATTCACCGGAGAGACAGTCACCAAGACGGCATTCACCGGAGAGACAGTCACCAAGACGGCATTCACCGGAGAGGCAGTCACCAGGGCGGCATTTACCAAGACCTCAAAATAGAAGACATGCCAGCCGTGATCACTCACCAAGACGGAATGATAACAAACATGCCGATCATGACCAATCACCAGGACGTGTTATGCATGAACAGACGCTTGTCTCAACCCCTACAAACCCCAGTCGCCAGGCTAGAGGCAGCAAACAGCGCTCGCCACAGAAGGCTCAGTCCGGCCACAACCCTGGGCTTGGGGGCTACACCCGAGGCCGCCAGCACAAGCAGGGTGAGTACCGCTATCCATCTGCAGATCTTGAGGGAGAGGCAACGACAGCTCGCCTGGAGGTGTTCAGTATAGTGCTTCATATACTGGTCGCCGGGTCTGCGCTTGCGGTGATTATACCCATGGCTATGGTAACCACACGTTGGGAGACCGAAAGAAAACGGTGTCCGTTGTTCGTGGACAAGCCCCCGGGCTTTGACTACCGGTGGGGTTGGGGAAACCCAGATATGACCTCCTGTAAGGTGGCAGCCTTTTTGCCAATTATTATGCTGGTGCTGTCTGTGACGCTGCTGCTCTTCCACAGTGGTCTCCTCCACATCTGGCGCATCAAGGAGGAGCCGCCAGCCTTCGCCTTCACCAGGATCTACACCCTGGTGGTGCTGGCCATTGTGGCTCTTGAGACCCTGCTGGCTCTCTGCGTGGCGGTGGTCCTGACGGAGGGGTTCAGACACACCTGCATCTCCTTCGACCTGAATCTGTCCTGGAATGAATATGTGCCCAGCTGTCAGAAGAACTTCGCCGACCGGGACGAGGCCTATCTCCTGGACCAGCTGCACACCTTCGCCAAGATCATCGTGGCCCTGGCCAGTGCTTGGTTCTGTGCAATCACAGCCATACTCCTCACCATCGTTTATATTACACGTTCAAAGATTTGTTCCTGTGAATTGGTGTGCATTTGAACCTTAGCATGTGAGATCAAATATATATTTACATATTATTCAAACTCTAAATATGTTGTAATAATATCTATGGTATTTATTTTTGTATATAAATATTGATGCATACAAAACTGTCTACAGGAATAAAATGCAAGTAGCAGTCCCCCTTCTACGAAGTTTAAAGAATTACTTAAAATACTAAAACAATGAAATTCGAAAATTCAATATTATAATGAAGGACTGAATTTTATATTATGTTACATTGCAAATAATATAATTAAAATTATACAATTTTCAATGCCTCTGATATAATTCCCGGTCTGGAGGCCAGGACGCCTGTACATAGGCTTGTATCAAGGTTCCCTAAGGTCCAACTACGGACCTTTCCCAGACTGCAGCCCACAACAGTTGCCTAACTTGTAAGTAACTTTTTAACCGTTAGGTGAACAGTTTCATCAGGTGAAAGGAAACGTTCCCAACTATTTCTAGCCCGCCTGTGGGTCGAACCCGGGATTTCTGATTGTATAGTTAGTTGAAAACAAAGTAGTTGTAAATATGCAGACAGCTTTTGCAGGGAATCATCTCAAGTAATTTGAATTTATGATTCTATTTATTTTATTGTGTGATGCAATGGATGAAAGTCAATCTTAATGTAAATACATTCTAAATTTTATATGCTACTACTGTTAGTTATTAGGTGTTATTTTAATCAAATTTATATGAGAACAATAAAAATCTAACACTGTATGCTTCAACACATGCAACTCATTTAATTCCTTGTGCTTCTCTGAAATCAAATATCGTAATCGAAATTAAGTATTATCATTATATTTTGTTATACCTCAAAATAATTATTATAATTAAATAGGGTCTCAAAATGCAAATTATAATAAGCAGATCTAAATTATAATTAGATTAGCTCGAAATTAGATCTGATAAAAGGTAAACTCTGTCAGCAGAACAATTCACATTCCTTACGTCACTCTGTATTGGAATGCAAAAAAATCAGAATAAAGAGATAATTATTTTAAAAATGTTCAAGAAATATGAAAGTAGTTCATTCAAAATGAAATACTGTCAACCTTAAGCCAATATCCAAAGTTTACTTACTGTAGGTAGAGCATGCACACGATTGTAAACTTTCCACCACTCACTGCATGGATGTTTGATGCATGATCAGTAAATTAAAGTATATGCACGAGCTGCCTGTCCCTGACAAAATTAATAATTATCATTATAAGAAGCGTTTAGGCATTTGAAAAATTTGTTATTTCTGTCGGGAAATGTAATAACAATTCACTAATATTGAAAATGTGACGCATACCGCTGAAATTTTAGCTTATGTACAGTGAGTAACTTGTAGTATTATTTACCTAAATTTACCTGAGGTTCACTAACATTCTAGTGGCCTCGACGAGGACAGAAAGCCGGCGACTTGTCGAAGGTTTCCTATTTGTCCTGATATTTTTTCAAGCATCCTATCCCCATTCCGAGGGCGGTGGTGGACCCCATACCACTCTCGAGGGCGGTGGTGGACCCCAAAACCACTCTCGAGGGCGGTGGTGGACCCCATACTTCTCTCGAGGGCGGTGGTGGACCCCATACCTCTCTCGAGGGCGGTGGTGGACCCCATACCTCTCTCGAGGGCGGTGGTGGACCCCATACCTCTCTCGTGGGCGGTGGTGGACCCCATACCTCTCTCGTGGGCGGTGGTGGACCCCATACCACTCTCGTGGGCGGTGGTGGACCCCATACCACTCTCGAGGGCGGTGGTGGACCCCATACCACTCTCGAGGGCGGTGGTGGACCCCATACCACTCTCGTGGGCGGTGGTGGACCCCATACCACTCTCGTGGGCGGTGGTGGACCCCATACCACTCCCGAGGAAGGTGGTGGACCCCATACCACTCTCGTGGGCGGTGGTGGACCCCATACCACTCTCGAGGAAGGTGGTGGACCCCATACCACTCTCGTGGGCGGTGGTGGACCCCATACCACTCTCGTGGGCGGTGGTGGACCCCATACCACTCTCGTGGGCGGTGGTGGACCCCATACCACTCTCGAGGGCGGTGGTGGACCCCATACCACTCTCGTGGGCGGTGGTGGACCCCATACCACTCTCGTGACCCCATACCACTCTCGAGGGCGGTGGTGGACCCCATACCACTCCCGAGGAAGGTGGTGGACCCCATACCACTCTCGTGGGCGGTGGTGGACCCCATACCACTCTCGAGGAAGGTGGTGGACCCCATACCACTCTCGTGGGCGGTGGTGGACCCCATACCACTCTCGTGGGCGGTGGTGGACCCCATACCACTCTCGTGGGCGGTGGTGGACCCCATACCACTCTCGTGGGCGGTGGTGGACCCCATACCACTCTCGAGGGCGGTGGTGGACCCCATACCACTCTCGTGGGCGGTGGTGGACCCCATACCACTCTCGTGGGCGGTGGTGGACCCCATACCACTCTCGTGGGCGGTGGTGGACCCCATACCACTCCCGAGCAAGGTGGTGGACCCCATATCACTCTCGAGGGCGGTGGTGGACCCCATACCACTCTCGTGGGCGGTGGTGGACCCCATACCACTCTCGAGGGCGGTGGTGGACCCCATACCACTCTCGAGGGCGGTGGTGGACCCCATACCACTCTCGAGGGCTGTGGTGGACCCCATACCACTCTCGAGGGCTGTGGTGGACCCCATACCACTCTCGAGGGCGGTGGTGGAAAAGGTTACAGCGGTACATAATGGGCTCAGAATCTGAACCCCAAAATTCATCTTCCTAAACAAGTCACAGTCTCGATAAGCTAGTTACACAGTTTAATGTATATTACAGTATTATATATATACAGTGGGCACAAGTACAGTCTCAAAGCTAAGTAGCTTATATATGCGGTGAGCTAATGCCACTATTGATTCTCATACCCAACACTCCCACCGCCCTTTCCCCTCCCCTCCCCCTCCCCCATCCAGTGGGTACCAGTAGAATGGTTCCAATCACCCTTATTTACTACCTAAAGTTAACAAACTAGGGACATTTGGCTAAAATTTCTGGTAGCAGATAATTTTGAATCAAATATTTACACATTTCAAGAGACTTCTATCCAGGCACTCCACTGGAAGGTGTCCTCAGCTTTATTTTAATATTTTAACTCAGCTTTGAGCCTAGCATACCCAGCGAACATATCATTGGCTATGCTGCTGATATGATACATACTGGGTGCATACCCAGTATGTATCATACTGGGTAATGATATATAATGATATATATACTGGGTATGCTGATGATATAATGATATATATACTGGGTATGCTGATGATATAATGATACATACTGGGTATGTTGATATAATGATACATACTGGGTATGCTAATACACAAGACACTCTAAACTCCGTATTAGACCTCAGGTCCCAGGTGTTGTCATCTCAGCCTGGGCGTCCACACAGGCAGGGAAGATCAAGCTATTGACAAGACACAACTGTATGATCTCTCTCAGCCTGAATACGTAAACAAACTCAAATACCTGGAGGTCCCACTGTATGGTAAGCTCACTGCATGTGTTGTTAGAATAACAAAAGAGGCTCAGAGTTCTTTAAGGCTGTGGCAGAGGCATCACTCAAGCTATGGTGCCAATGTCAGTCACTGGCGGAAGTCATCAGTCAGTGATGGATTGCATATTTTCTATCTTTTATAGAGTGATCATTTAGCGATATTGGTTCATGAACTGAACATCAACAGTTTGATGTTCACCATTGATGCAAACCTGACCAGTTTGCATCAATGGTGAACTTGTTACATGGAGTTATTATTTTTGCTATTTTATCATATCAAATTTTACAACTTTATATACTAAGAGATTGTTTGTATACATATAGAATTAAACTAATATGAATAAGGTACCAACTGAGTAAAGAGAGGTCTTAATTTTCATACATATGCTTGTGTTAACTAAAATTCATGAGGTGCTCATGAAGACACGTTTTCTGTCATCTTTACCTTAGGTACATTCTCTGTAACTTTTTGAATGACAGACTATTTTATACCATATTGATTGTAAAACACACTTCTTGACGGATAATTTACCTGAGGGCCATTAACACTAGTGGCCTCAACGACGACAAAATCGCCTCATGTGCCCTGATGATTTTTTTCCTGCTGGATTTTAAAATGTAACATAGTTGTGGCATTCCCTATTACGGCGGATAACCGGTTCCGTGGCTTTATAACCCTGTGGGTGAAAAAACACCATCTGTTCTAATCTGCCTTTAAAGGAAGGGAAGGGAACTATTAGGAGGAAAGCGCCAAGCCATTACGACTATATGGCACTGGGAAGGGATGAGAAAAAGGATTTGGGATAGGACGGAGGGAAGGAATGGTGCCCAACCACTTGGACAGTCTGGGATTGAACGCCGACCTGCACGAAGCGAGACCCTCGCTCTACCGTCCAGCCCAAGTGATTGGACTGTCTTTAAATGAGAAATTGAGTATAACCTTGAAGAAGAAGGTAATATCACACACAGAGATCACACTAACGTGATGCATCAAATGAACAAATCCACAAGGGCCGTGACGAGAATTCGAACCTGCGTCCGGGAGCATCTGTTACGGACCCGAGCCCAGCGTCCGAGCACGGAGCAGTGACGACCACGCCATCTGTGGGTCAGCTCCCGAGACCCCCTCCAAATGGACGACGCCATCTAATGAGGACAGGATATACCGGCCACAGAGGCTGGTTTCCCGTTCTGATCAGCTCATAACACAGCCGCTGCTGACCTCTGGTGAGGTGACGCTTAGACAGCAACGCCATCTATGGAGTGGATAGGTGGGCGTTTGTGTCTAAGCCTGTAAGTGAGGTGCCCCAGAGTGTAACTAGTACTGATGATGTGTCTGATTACAGAGTCGACCTGGGACTGCTGTAATGAACGTTGGATCAGTCTACCCAGGGCAGCCGTAGGACCTCCAAGTGTTAGCTGCAGAAGCTGTGAGTCACCCCCCGGATGAACACTGTTGTGTTAGCCTGCCTGTGAGGTGGCAGGACCAGGAATTGTCGTACCCGGGGCTGACTAGTGGAGAAGACTAACCACTGGGGTGTTGTGGTGAGGAGAGTGATCTGTGGAATCACACGAGGCTCCTGCCTAGGGCTCGCAACCCTAGTATCGGTCGTGGAGTGGCCTACGCAGCGTAGCTGATTGGAACCTGCCAGCTAAAGGCTGGATTTGTGGTCGACGGCCTCCACGACGGTGCACCCAGTGGGACTGTGATTTGGCTGGCCTGTGGCCGGGGTAGACTCGCCGAGGGAATCAAAGGATTTATCGTGAGGCCACAAGAGAACCAGGACCACTCGTCTTGAGCACCGTGAACGTCCAGGGTCTTCAGAGGAAGACCATATTGTACATAATAGTGTTTATACCTCCCCCGTGTGATAATTTATATATTATTTTTGGTGACGGTGATAATTATATTATTAAGTTTTTGCCTTTGTCTCCCTTCCCCTTTAATTTACTTGCGTTATGAAGCACACCCCTTGAAAGCCACTGCTAGCTTGGGGCCAGATACCCAAACTCTACTAACATCAGAGAAAGAACCCAGTTGCGACCCGAGAGGGCCGTAACAGCATCCCAGACACTGCCTTAATCGACTGAGCTACGACAGGGTTAAAAGGGTTGAAACCGAAGTTCTACTGAACTTACTGGATCCCGTAGCCTCTCCGAGGCACAAACCAGGCTTTTACACAACCCCCCCCCCTGCACCCG